TAAGCAACATCTCACTCGCACTGTTAATGCTAACATTGGATTTTATTGGTGAAATAGCGACGGTAAAGCAAATTTTGAAAGGTGTAAAATCATATCTGCAGTAAAGCAACTATGTAAATTTGATGGCATGAAAAAGCTTAAGGTATTGAGGAATATTTTTGTGAATTTGCGATGTGAGAAATAAAAACTAATGGCACTATTGTTGGCCTTAAAACAGCTAGTTTTAGCGTTTAAAAAATGAGAAATAATAAATTTAATTTAAAAAAAAATAAAGAATTAATATAAAATAAGATAAAATTAATTAAACTAACTAAATTGAATTAAGTCAAGTAAAGTAAAATAATTTATTTATAGAAATAATTAATTTATGGAAAATTTTAAATTAACCTTCTTTAAAAAATTGTTAGGAAAAAGCAAAATCAAAACAAAATAAAACTGTTATTAAAAATAAAGAAAAATTTTCTTCACATGGTTAGTTTCAGAATTGTAATAAAATAAAGACAGCTATATTTTTAAGGTGATTTATAAGTAGAGTGGATAACCTCACTTTTTGTATGCAACGTTTTTTCGGAAAAATTACGAATTCGATATGTAATATATCGCACACAGCCTAAGTCAACTTATAATATCATAGTACCAACTTTTATTTGTGGTATTAACATCTCCATGACATAGTGTAGATCGGATCTTTACATTTATTCTAATCAAATATGTGAGGGTCTCTAATTGGCGATATGAAATAATTTTTCTTAGGATAATATGTTCGATATGTAAGTTTTATTTTCCATTTTCACATTTTTTTTATCTCTCATTACTCTTTATAATATTTGTTATTCAATAATGTTTGAATTTCAAAACTTTAATTTTAAATCCACATTCCCATCAAAAAAAATTTTCCCACCCGATCTTTCTGTAATTTATCTACTTACACCGGGATTTTCTATTAACTAAAAAATATCACAACACCTTGCCTAAACTTTTTATAAGTACTTAGAATATGCTTTATGAAAAAAGAGGGTTGTAGCGCCATTCGTTCTTGTATCACCGCCCTTTCAGAGCACACTATAAGCAGCCGCCCTTCTTTCGTATAGCCCACCGTAAATTCATGTAATAACAATATGCAGCTGTAAGCTACTGGTATTTGTGTGAGCACATTGCTATACCCAATTAAAGTATAACAAAAACAACAAAAATAGCAACTGCCGATTTTGTGCCAGCCCAGCTGCTCAGATAGCGACGGCATGCGGTGATTGGAATTCCGTTGCTGTTGCGCGTTATGAAGAATTTGATTTACTTGTTTAGATGTAAATTATTTTATGTGAATCTGTGAGAAGAGAAGGTGTGAAAGCTGCTAAATCCTTTCATATATTAAAAAATGTGATTAAAAATAAAATTAAAAAACTTGTGAAAATCAAATAAAATAAAATAAAATAAATAAAACAAAATAAAATAAAATAAAGTATAATAGAATAAATGAAATAAATAAATAAAATAAAATAAAGTAAAATAAAATGAAATATAATAAAATTTAATAATATAAAATAAAATTTAAAAAATAAAATAAATAATTAATTGCAATAAATATATAAAATAAAATAAATAAATAAAATTTAATAAAATTACATGAAATGAAATGAAATTAAATATAATAAAATAAATAAAATAAAATGATATATAATAAAATAAAATGATATATAATAAAATAAATAAAATAAAATAACTTAGTAAGTAAAATAAATTAAAATAAAATGAAATGAAATGAAATAAAAAGAAAATAAAGTATCATAAATCAAAGTAATAGGAAATTAAATTAAATGAAATGGCGTCGATAACCGAGTGGTTAGCATTTCGTCTCTGGAAGTTTATTGAAGTGGTTAAAATGTCGGAAGGATTGCGAACTGCGATTTTCGTTTATAAATAAAAAAAAAATATGTATGTATGTAACATTGATTGGTCACTTTCGGCTAAATGTTGAGTTTGCGAATGAGATTTCATTTCAATCCCATTCAATACATTACATTTTTATTACAGGAAAGCATTAATTAAATTTCACATATTTTCTTCTTCTCTTCTTCTTTTATTTTGGCTTAAGCATAATTTATGCACGCACTTAAAATTATATTTCATTTAGGAGTTAAAAAATAAAATAAAAGACGTGTTTTCTTTTTTTTAAGATCACAACGATCACCTTTTAATTATACACAGGCGTGTTCATATATATGTATGTCTGCGTATACGCTTATTTGCAACAAATCAATTGCAATTAAGAGACTCGGAGCCCGAGCACATGCAAAATTCGCATTAAAAGCGGCGCTTTATGGCACCCAAATTGTGACCACATAAGTACATATGTACATGAGTGCAATAGTGTGTATGCACATATGTAAATATGTTTGTCTGTAAGTGTGGGAAGATCATTATTGCCGAAAAAATGCATTAAGGCGCTTAAAAAGACAGTCCACACATGCAATTATACACACATGTATATGTATGTACATATGTACACTTTTCGCGAGAACTCGAAATGTTTAATGGGTACGTGCCACAAAAGGTAATTAATGGAACAGTCGAAAGTATGAAAAAATTATAATAAAAAATAAAATAACAACAACATTGTAGATGCGTATGCAGAGATTTTTATGAGCTGTTGAGTATTGCTTAGGTACACATGTATGTATGTTTGTTCAGATAAGAAAATATTATACCTGTATATGCAATCATAAATAAATATAAAGTTTTAATAAATAAAAAATTAAAAATAATTGATAAAATCAAATAAAGTAATAAAAAATGATATGAAATAAAAGATTTAAAAAATTAAAAAATTGAATATATCATAATTATATATGGTAATATAATATAATTGAATATAATAAAATAATATAATATAATATAAAATATAAATGTTTAATATAACATGATTATGTACGATAATATTCTATTATATAATACAATATAATAAATATAATAAAATAAAGTAAATTAATATAAAATGAAATGAAACTAAAATTTAAATAAAATAAAAATAATCCAGATATTATTAAAGCGAAATAAGACAAAGTATAATAACATTGAAATTTAAAAAAAAAATAAAATAAAAAAATTTAATATAATTATGTATGATAATATAATTTATTATAATAAATAAATTATAATAAAATATCATGAATTGAAATCGATGTGATCCAATAGTATTAACTGATAACTACTTTCGAATACGAATTGCCACCAGTGAATAATGGGTAGATAATTACAAAACTCCAAGGGATAGCCTGGAAATATACACGGAAAGGAAAACTGTCGGAGGTGTCTTCTCAAAAAATCGTCCAATTGAACTCTCGTACAGCTTACCTGACTGTTGTGGTGTTTTTAAGGTGGATATATCTGTTATCATGTAGTCTGCAAAGCAAAGTCTTTTACAAATTGCAAACTGCTTTTCAAGGAACTAACATATGTACTAGCAGCAAAAAGGTGGAATGACATTACAACGTGCCACAAATCAAGGCACACATGTCCAAGATGGCATAGGAAGAGATCACGATATATGTACTCTTTAAAAATAGGTGACATGTCCAAAGTAATAAGAGTTCTGATAGGCCACTGTCTGCTCAGACGACACGCGGAAAGACTAATTGCCCCCTAAAGCAGATGCTACACAAGGATGAAGAGGAGGAAACGATCTTCTTATGCGACTGTGCTGCTTTGAGCAGGGCTAATTTTTGGAATTTTTGTAGCTCTACTGCTGGAGGGTCTATCGAAGATTACGTCAATGGATCTAATGAGGTTCATGGATCATGGATAAATAATGAAACTTGATGGGCAAGTTTTTGGGGCATCACAATATTTCTTGGGCCTCGAAAGATCGGATTAATTTAATACATGATAATAAAATAAAATATGNTTGAATTGAAATGAAACGAAGTAAAATGAAATGAAATGAAATGAAATGTAATGAAAAATAAAATAAAATAAAATAAAAATAATAAAGATACAATAAAAGCGAGATATTTCAGATTGTTTCTATTAATTCTAATATTTTCCAATATTATGCTTGTGAATACCAGATGAGCGCTAATGCACGCGATCCGAGAGCTACAAATTTTAACGGCTTTTGTGTTTCAAATATGTGCATACATACATACGTATATGTATACAAAATATTCACCAACGATCCGCGTTCGCAGAAACAATTATGCAAACACAATGACCTAGAATTATAAAAACACACACAAATCTCGCAAAACGTTAGTTACAGAATCTTTGCCTAATCCCGAAATAAATGTGAATCGGTGTAATTTTCGCAAAGTGAAAAATGTGTAGGCGTTGCTCAGGGACAATTCCTCACGCATACTAATTTTCTATGGACCATTGTTCAATGTTTCGCAGAACTTCTGTTCGTTGTTATAGATGTTCGCAGCTAACAAAAGATACGCTGACTATATGCAAAAAAAAAAAAAAACATATATTCATACATATGTACATGCATGTAACGGAACTTCTTTGTAATTTAGTTAATGGCAGAGTTACAAACAGGCCCTCGCAAATGGTAGCGCGCTCAACGAATGTCGTGAAGGAGAGGCCCCGCTTCCTTCGCTCGGGATGTTGGGGCAACTAGAAGTGCAGAGGGGCAATAGGAAGTGTATAACTGCAACTATCTGTCCGTTCATGGCAATCACAGGGAAATTATTATATATATAGCTGAAGCTACGAACCAAAAGATACATCCTTATATATGTACATATGTACATATACATATGTAAATATTCTAGTGGAGTTCAGCTCACGTGCAGCCAAGAGGCTATGCGAGTGATCAAGCGCCCATTTTACTCTTATAAAGTTGAGTGGCGCCGCTGCTACTGCTAACGCTAAGCAGGTTTTTGCTTTTGCTTGCGCATGCGCGCACAACTACGGAGCGCTACCAACACGAGCTCAAAGAACAGCTCAAACACAAACTCAAAAACATAAACACACACACAGGCGCACACATAAGCCTTTAGCAACAGTAGAAGGCATAAGGACAAACGAGTGACACGAATGACAATACGAATGACTTACGAGCGACTTACGAGCGTTGCCGACAAGCTAAACGAATGACGTACTAATTACATACTACACTCGTTGAAGATCGCCAGCTGAGTTAACCTTATGAATAAATTCTGAGGATATGGCACAGTTTGTCAACAGCAATCGCGTCATTAACTACTTCGAGCAGTTTTAAGTTTACGGAAATTTCATCGAGTCTTAGATTTTATTTTCGTAATTTTTTTGCTTTTGCTTTAGGCAATATCGACATCTTTGTCAAACCCATAGTGAGAATGGACACATTAAGTGGGCAAAATTACACTTGCGAAACATATATTTATATATGTGTGATACAGTGATAAACAATACCTAAATACAGTGATAAAGGACACTTAAAGTGCGTGAAATTATATTTCAAAAACATATATTTATATATGTATAAGAGTACCTAAACACAGTGATAACAGACACTTAAAGTGGGCAAAATTATATTTGCAAAACATATATTTATATATGTGTGATATATTCATAAAGAACTTTTGATGTAAACAAGCTTTGAAAAAAAAACAACAGGTGAGCCAAGCAATACTGTATATTCTGAGCTTAACATAAATCAAAAAAAAAAAAAAACATTTTATATGAAAGGTTAAAAGCACGATGAAAACCCTTTTTGTTTTGCGATTGTAGGAATTCATTGAAAAAAAAATTTTAAAATAATAAATTTATTTCAATAAATTATGTTTTATATATATATATATATTTTACGTAGGTAAAATATGAACTTCTGAAACAAAAAATTCTTTTTGAGTTTTATTTATTAATTTATTTATTTTAAAGTCTTTTAAATTTTTATGGCAGAGAATTTATGATTAAAAATTTAGTGAAAAAATTTTAGAGTAAATTTTAAACTTATTTAATATTTTATTATAATTTTTATACATATATATATATTTATTTATAGATATTTGTTATTTATATATACGCTTTCTTTTCGGTTTCAAATGAATGTACCAGAAGTTCATATATTGATATTCAACATAATTGATACTTAAAATATGAACTTCTGAAACGTTGGATTTTAAACAAAAATAGACCAAATGAAATTGCAAAATTTATATATAGAGAGTCACTCTCTCTCGCTAGATAATTTTAAGGATCTTAGATGTTCTCTTTAAGAAATATTCCAAACAAAAAAAAAAACAAATTTAGACGAATATCTTTAGTTTGGCAGAGAGAGAGAGAGAGATTTTAAAAAATATGTATTTTAAATTTCAATCTGAACTTAATTAATATCGAAATGTAAAAATGCTAAAAAAAATTTTTGGGTAGAAATGACACAATTTTTCAGCACGCTCCGATCGAGTAAAAAAAGAGAAAATTTAGCAAAAAAGTCCTTTCAATAAACTTCGAATATATTCAATATATATATATATATTCCCGCTCTCTAAATTTTTGCAAAATATTTGTTGATCAAAATTAGCAAAGAGGAAATATAGAGAAGCATCTTAGAAATAAAAATTTAGTATTGTTAGAAAATAGAGAAATTGTAAGAGAAAGTACGGCGAGATAACAGCAGCGGGAAAGAGATAGCAATAGATGAGAAAAGGCGCATTTAAAGAATTAGAGAGAGAGAGTAAGAAGAAAAAGATAAGCAAAGATTAGCTAAAGACGTTGCTTAAACTATTTGAATCAGTTGATTTAGGACATTGACAAAGACAGTTCATTGTACGGACTAATCGAATTTAATTTTTGAAGCGAATATTTTTGTAGAAAAAACTATCAAACAATTATAGTAAATATTTCGGCAGTTTAGCGAGCTGGATATTAAAGAATTTTTCAAAAAATATTTCAATCGCCTAAACCAGGATTTAAAGGACGATTATAAAAGAAGTGAGTGAAAATTATTTAGAACTTTCGAAAATACTTTAATAAAATATATTAGTAAAGATAGGTAATAGTGCGCCAAGTTAGATCTAGTCTATTTTACTGAGAACTTTGATAAATGTACCGTATGAAATTTAGCTGAAATTCTAAAATAGTATCAACTGAAAAAATTTGCAAAGAGAGGTTACTCTTTTTTAATTGTATCAATAAAAACAAACAAAAAATTGACGAGAATATATAAAGAATATTACAACTAATTAAAATAAATGAAAAATAATAAAATTTAAAAATATTTAGTGTAAAAAATCAAACATAAATTAAAACAAAAATAATTAAAACATTAATATATACTATATAATTATATAACAAACTTATAAATAAACTCAAAAAAACTATTTATATATTGAAAAAAGTTAAGATATAAATATAAATTATAAAAAAGAATAAATAAAAAACTAAATTAAAAGTAAAAAGATTAGTAAAATTAAATAAAAATAACATTAAAAATAAATATGAAATAATATAAAAAATGGGAATTAAATAAAAATAATGATAGAACCAAAAATAAAAAAATAGAATTAAAAAAAAATAATAGAATTCAAAATAAAAAAAAGATTTAAATATAAAAAAATAGAATTAAATATAAATAAAAAAATTAAACCTAAATAAAAAATAAAATTTAATAAAAACAAAAATAGAATTAAATAAAAATAAAAGATATAATTAAATACAATTAAAAAATTAAATTAAAAGTAATTAAAAAAAAATTAATTATAAATAAAAAATAGAATTAAATAAAAATAATAATAGAATTAAAAATAAAAAAATAAAATTAATAAAAACAAAAATAGAATTAAATAAAAACGAAAATAGAATTAAATAAAAAAAAAATTAAAAAATTAAAATTAAATAAAAATAAAAGATAGGATTAAATATAATATAAATTCAATATAATTAAAAAAAATATAAATAAAAAAAATAAACATAAATGAAAAATAGAATTTAATAAAAACAAAAATTGAATTAAATAAAAACAGAAATAGAAACAAATAAAAATAAAAGATAGAATTAAATATAATTAAAAAATTAAATTAAAAGTAAATAAAAAAATTTATTATAAATAAAAAATAGAATTCAATATAAATAAAATAGATAAAATTAAATAAAAATAAAAAATATAATTAAATAAAAATAAAAAATATAATTAAATAAAAATAAAAAATATAATTAAATAAAAGTAAAAAGCAGAATTAAATATAATTAAAAAATTAAATTAAAAGTAAATAAAAAAATCGTATTAAAAAATAGCATACAATATAAATAAAAAATAGTATTAAATATAAATAAAATAAAGGATTAAATAAAAATAAATATAAAATAAAATCAATAAAATTTAAAACTAACAATAAACAAATTAAATTATTAAAATTGAAAATCAATTTAATTGTTAAATAAAATTAATAAAAAAATATATTAAGGTATTTATAGTAATCTTGCAAACAATACATATACCGAAGATATTCCCAAAATAAGTTAAGCGTAAAAACACAGTTATAAAAAACACGCCGGTGTTTTACAATTTTTTCTTATTTTTTATTCCCTTATTTTTTACTCTTATCTAATTTTTCTTATTACATTTCTCTTTTTTTTTGTAACCGAAAAACACTTAGTCATCATCGCCTTTGCACAAATATTTAACCCCAAACTTTTTTTTCTCTTTCGCCTTTCTTACAGTTCCACGAAATCCAGCCTGAGATTTCTGAGATCTTAACGCACAGCGAGCAAAACGAACGATTGCGAAATTCGTAAAATTCGAGCGTTTACAGAGCAAGCAGCGAGCTTTTGCAGTTTTATTTCTCGGGAACCAACGCGTTACTCTCATGAGACACCTGTCAACCCAGCAAGTAATTTAACAATACAACAATTTTTTTTTAATTACAATTGAGCGTATAGAATAAATAATAACAGTCAAAACCCCGTCCAACTTATGTAGCTGATGGCAACAAATAATTCGGAAATGCCGCTTATAAATGCGGCAGATGCCGGTGGTGGCGTTGGTGGTGGTAGCGGTGGTGTTGGTAATGGTGTCGATAGCGGTAATCCCGTCGCAGTCGTCTCCAGCGGCCCACAGTCGAATGGCAGCTGTGGCGGTGGAATCGGTGAATCGAATGGCGCCAACAATACCATAAGCGCTGCTGCCGACTCCAGCGATAACCAGCCGGGCACACCGCAACCTAACGGCAATGGCCCAATGATGAGCAACAACAACAACAGCAGTAACGAGCAGCAGCACCAACTGCATTTGGCACAAAATGCTTAAACAACAACAACAACAACAGCAGCAGCACCAACTGCATTTGGCACAAAATGCTTACGACATGTACGGCACCGTTGCCACGACAACGAACGGTTCGCTCTCGCTGCCGCCCATGTTTGGCGGTGGCGGCGGTGGAGGCGGCATTTACGCTACGGCCGGCGGCCAAGCTGACATGCAGCAACAGCAGGCGCAGGCTTATCCGAGCTATATGAACTCTTTCGAGCAGTTCTATCAGCAACAACAGCAGCAACAAGTTGCTAACGGCATGGAGTTTGGACTCATGTATGCCGCTGGCGGTAACACCAGCACCGGCAACTACAAGATGGCCAGCGCACATCACAGCAACAGCAGTCAAGTGCGCTATCAACCCTATCTGAATGCAACTAAGACGTCGAAATCAATCACAACAGACGGACGGACAGTGCCACCGGAGCAGCACAACGTTACAAATGGTAATGGTGTCGGTGGCAACGTCATCGGCTCCCTACAGTTGTCGCAGAGCAGTGCTGCCGTTTCGACTACGACCAATTCGCTGAGTCCACGCATGGTCAGCTCCACGAGCCCGACCTCAACTTCGACTCATCATCAACAAAGCGCCGCCGGCTCAACAACTGGTTCGCCTAACAGCGCTGGCGGTAAGTTGGTTTGTAAAAAATGCGGCTTTCAGGGCACGAACGACAACGAACTGCAAGAGCACATCACTAACGTGCATGGCGCCTCGCCATATGGCAGCAGCGGTTACGCTAGTTCACCGTATATTAAGGAGGAACTCTCATCGGGATCGCAGCAACAGTCAGGTAGTGCGCAACAAGCACAGGGTGGCAACCCTGGTGAAATACTTGATTTGGATTCACAAAAAATGGTTTATCCGCCCGCACAGGGCAGCATACAGTCGCTATTGCAACAACCGCCACAAATGCATGATCCGCTTGGCACCAATGATCCGCTACACTCCATGCATACCATGCAACAGCGCGCTCTACCCGGGTGGGAGCAGCCCCCAGATCCACCAAACGTTGGAATGCAGGAAGGGTTGCCTCCATACATGCAACAACAGCCCCAGCCTACGCAGTTGCAGACGATCGACCAAAATGGCAAACCACCACATGCCAACCAATCGCCTTACTACTCACCCAAGCAGTCGTCCTATCAGGTACCAGGTGGTATGCAAAATGGCGTAAATGGTGGCGCCATGGGCGTCAAGGAGGCTTATGGCATGTTGAAATCGGAATATCCGGACTCGCAGAATTACGTCGACAAATCATTTGGTTCGACTGTAGTCGGTGACATGTGCCACCAACAACAACAACAGCAGCAGCATCAACAAACGCAACCGCAACCGCAGCCGCAATTAATGCCTGTATCCTCAAGTCCAGCTGAATTTCCAACGACTACAACGGGTCCACAAGAACCGCAACAGCCATATCGTGGCTTCGAGCCACCCACATCATCCTCCGTGAACACGGGCGCACTTCCAACCAAAGCCGCCACTTGGAAGTCCAACGAGGCGCGCCGCCCAAAGACGTACAATTGCACAGCTTGCAATAAGTGGTTCACTAGCTCGGGTCACCTGAAGCGCCACTACAACACAACACTGCATAAGAATGCCGTAAAGTCCAGCGGTCAGCCAGACCCGGCAACACTGCCAATATCTGTGCATCATCATCCCGCACGTGATCCAACCACCACTACAAAGCCGCACAGTCGGCGAAGTAACGCCGCAGCCGCAGCAGCCGCTGCTGCACAAAAGCAGGCAGCAGCAGCCGTTCAGCCGGCCGAGTTACCCAGAAGTCCATCGGATTTCGGACAGCCCACGGCCATGGGTATGTCACATTACACCGCTACACCCTCGCCCACACATCAAGCCCCAATGAACGGTTTAGCGTATGGCGCAAATCCAAGCGGATATCAGCCAGCACAACAACAACAACAACAAGCGCAATATATGAATCCCATACACGCTGCATCGAATGGAAATTCGCCCAACGAAATGAGTGCATCTAGCCACTCACCAACAAGCAACAACCAAACCGTCTTAAACGGTCACCCAAACGGGTTAGCAGGTCCCTCCGCCCAAATAGCGTTAACACCAATGCCGTCCTCCCACACGAGGGGCCTGCTGAGCAAAACAACAACCACTACCAAAAAGAGCGAACCGGAAATGGAGGACAATTACCCGCACAACAGCAGCAACAGCTTCAACAACACTCTAATCTTGTGCACACCACCGTCGGAACCGGAAATGGAAACGGGACTGCAGCCATGGGAATTGGTCCCGCTGGAGACAGAGGTGCGCATGCAAATGGACATGGAGATATCACAACAACAGCAGCAGCAACAGCTGGAAGAGGAGGCAGCGGCAACGGCAGCAGTGGCAGCAGAGCAGGCACAGGCGATCGAGGTTCTGATGAAACGCCACCGTCAGGCGCAAGCTGCACTGGAACGGGAGGAGCACCTAGCACTTTTCCCACATCATCAACTGGTGGAGGAGGATCAGCAGCGTTCACTCAGCAGCTGCATGCCCATGGTCAGTCCGCAACTGCTCTCGCCCCCTATTACCTCCCCCCGCCAACAATACCAGGCACCACAGCAGCAGCAGCAGCAGCAGCCGGCGGACAATCATTTCTCGCTCATGCAGCCGCCAGTGGCAATCCATACGCAGCAGCAAGCCAATACAATGGATCACCAATACAACATCAATCCTTTGGATACCAGCACGCTGCCGCCGCTCATCACCAATATGCAGCTGCTGCAGCCGCTGCTGCACACCACCACCAACAACAGCAGCACCACAGCTACTACAGTCAATACGGACAGAATCCGTATGCTACGCAACCACCTCCTCATGGAGCCCCACCTCCTCATGGACTTCCCCTCCCAATACCAACACAGGCTACACATGCAGCAAATAGCGCAGGCGCAACAGGACCAGCCGGTCTTACCCTCCATGCACAGTATGCTACACAACAATACCAACATACAGTCGCCGGTGCACCACCCACCCAATACCATCACGCCGCCGCAGCTGCTGCAGCCCAACACCACCACCATCACACTGCCGCAGCAGCAGCAGCAGCCGCAGCCGCCGCTGCACACCACCAGCACCATACAATACTACCAACAGCTGCTGGAGGGGTCACAGCTAGTCCCGCTGGAGCCCACAATGACCTATCGCACTATTATTGGTAGTGACAATAGTGAGGAGTCGCTCAACAATACAGTGTATACGATCAACGGCGATGACTGTATCGACAATGACGAGATAATCTTAACCAATATCGGTGATAGCTACAGCACTGCCGCTGCCACTGCTGATGGTACCCTACAAACGCAGCAACTGGTCACTGTGGATGGTCAGATATTGGAATTTATGACAACACCGGGCATGGCCCAACCGTTATATGCTGTATCGCCACGTGCCATGAGCTGCATGCCGCGCTCACCGCAAGCCGGCGATCTACCACCGGCCTACACACTTCTGAATCATGGCCAGAGTATGTCACACGACCACCTACCGCTTAATGGTGCAACGCAACAAACGTATAAGGATGAACCATACACTACGATCCAAGAGTATTTCGTCCCAGCCTCGACTATAACAAGTGCACAAGTCACTGCCGACACCGAAAATACCAATGTGGTCGTAACCAAAAAGAGAGGGCGCAAAACCAAAAGCAAAGCTGACACCGTTGCGGTGGACGACCCGAGCGAAAAGCCCAAACAAGAAATCATGACGATAAGCGAAGCGTCGACAGAAGTGCCAACGACAACGACGACTGCAAAACGCAAACGAAAGCCAGCTCAATCCAAAGCCCCAGCGAAGCCGAGACGAAAACAAACTCCAAAAGTTATCACCACCTCGCCAGAAATTGAAGTTCTCCCGAACGGACGTCTGAAGTGTCTCGAGTGCGAAAGAGATTTCACCAAGAAATGCTACTTAACACAACACTTAAATAGCATCCACGGCGGTGAGTATAAATTTCGTTGTGAGAAGTGCGGTAAACGCTTTCTAACCGAGGCTCCATATAAAAAACATATCGGGCGACACAGTATGCAGAATAAGCGTTGGCCTTGTATGTTTTGTCCATGTGTTTTCCATTTCAAAACCGACTGGGAACGTCACATAATGACAAAACATACAGGCAGATGGACACACAGATGTCCGATATGTAGGAAAGGTTTCTCTCGTAATGATCATATGAGAAAACATATTCTAACACATTTGAGAAACAAGAGGAAAAGGTCGAAGAAGCAGGCTAAAAATGCCAAAGTGAAGGTAGAGGTGGTAGAGGAAACACTTGTGGAAGTGGGAGAGGAACCACTTGTAGAAATGGTAGAGGAACCACTTGTGGAAGTGGTAGAGGAACCACTCGTAGAAGTACCCGCTACACAAGAACTAGTATCAGAATATGTTACACAGGAACTCTTACCACTAGATCTAGTAACACAAACACTGGCACCACTAGAAATAGCCACACAAACGCAGGTTTCACAGGAATCATTTAAACAAGAGACAGAAACAGAACTAGTTCCACAAGAAACAGAAACCGAACCGGTTCCGCAAGATGTTGTGTAGCAGCATCAATTATTTAGTTTTGATTTAATTTAATTTATTTTAATTTAAATTAATTTCATTTGAATAATTTAGTTTTTAGTTAGCGCATATAAATCGTGAAACCACTTCTATAGCACAAAAATATCTTAAGACAAACTTTACAAAGACAGTTTTCAATCAAAGACAGTGACTTCAGTCAATCAAAAGAAGGAGTAACAGAAATTGAAAAACTCAACGCTTAATTTATATAATTGATTAAATTAATTTATGTTGGCAACGCGATAAACTTGCTGTTAAATGTCCTGAGATTTGTACCTTGAAAGATAGTCTTTTGCGAAGTCAATTTGAGCTTATTTTGATACAAAAGACGAGTAAGTAGAACTCATTTACGTAAAGCTGAATTTAAAAATTGTCTCAAAATTGCTTGCGTTTGTGTGTTGAAAAACAGTTTCTTGCGTTGTAAATTTTAGTTTATTTTCATCCAGAAAAACTTGAAAAACTCGGCGTTCAATTTAAATAATGAATTTAAAATAAATTGGCAACGCGAAAAAATAACTAATTAAGACACTAATTTGCGCAGTTAAATTGAGCTCATTTGGTGGCAAAAAAGTTAATAAAATTTAGCGATTAATTTAAATGTGTAATTTTAAACAAATTGGCAAGGCGAACAATTAATTCTATCAATAGATTTGTACCTTGAAATACAGTCATTTGCGCAATTAAAGAGAGCTCGTTTTCAGGCAAAAAACCTTCAAAAACACGCTGCTTAATTTAAATGTTAAATTAAAAAAAAAAAAATTGGCAACGCTAAAAGCTGGCACTAAAATTTTGCATTAAAAGACATTTTTTTCCAAAGTAAATCTGAGTCACTTTTAATATAAAAATTTGCAAATATCAGCATTTAATTACAAAATTTATTTAAACTAAATTGGCAACGCAAAACATTTATTATTCTGATATTTGTTCACTCAAGACAGTTTTTTGAGGAAAAAAATTTTGTTCTTTAAAAAAAGAAAAGAAAAAATATAATAAAATGTAAAATTTCTCTTATCATTGTGCTATAGTTGACTTCTTTCACACGTGCTGCTGATTAAAATAGCTGTAATACATTATAGAGGTATATATAAAGATTTTTCAATTTTAATTTTTTGATATTTTTTTTTGTCAATTATTAAATTTTTCAATTTTTGTACCTTACTGCCTGCATTTTTCACATTTTTATTTTATATATGTTTGTAACTAAAACATTCTGTCTCAAGAAATATTGCATAAAATATTCAAAGTATATAAGTATATATAAATATATACATTTAAAGTTACTTAAAAATTATTGAAAAATTTTTTCATGCTTGTATAATTTCTTTTGTAAATTACTTTGTTTTTTTTTCGCAAGAAAAATGCGCAGAAGTAAAAAATATTCATTTAAGCGACTTCATTTATTTTTAATCATTTGCTTAGTAATTAGTATTAGTATTTTTTTTTTGTATCGTAGTAATGGACAATAAATTTGCCTGTGTATCTATCGTTGGTACAAAAATTCACAAGCACTGTATATATTTCGTTTGTAAGAGGTACCGTTATATTTTTAAAAATTAGTGTAAGATTTTTTTTTTATTTGCATTATAGACATTTAAGTTACAGAGCACATGAAAAATAAATATAAACAAACAAGAAATCAAGGAAATCAATTTTTTTATTAGAAGAAAACTACATTATACTTGCATTTGTATCAGGGTGTCTGGTTTAATAAATGATTAAATTCAATCAACAATTAATGAAATTAAAAAAAAAAAAAACTATAAATAAAAAATAATAAAAGGCAATTCAAAAAAACACAAATAAAAGTATTAAAACTTAAATATAATTATAATATTTTGCCTACAATCAAAATAATAATAATTGTAAAAATATAAAATAAAATAGAAATTAAAAAAAATAATAAAAATTAAATTGCAGCGATTTGTGCAGTAATGAAAAAGTATAAATATTTAAAAAATTTCAAAAACTTTCAAAACTTTCAGGCAGCGAAAACTATTATACTTTAATTTCATATAATTTATTAACTTTATTTTATTTCTTAATTTTTTTTTGATTTATAAACATAAAATTTTATTTTTTATATCATAACTTAATCGTTATTTTATATCTTAGTCTAGCTTGTTGTTAATTAAAAATTATAAGTAAATGAAGTAAATGATTTTTCTGTCTTTAAAAACAGCAAAACACTTATATACATATATAAACATAACAAATTAAATTTCATTTTATTTAACATGTTGATTTTATTGGACAAAATTTGTAAATTCCTTTAACAGCAGTAAATCGATTAAAAAAATTCTAAAACAAAAATGTTGAATATCAAATTTAAAAAAAAAAAGGATTATTTAAAAAAAAAAAAAAAAAAAAAAATCACAACAACAAATACAAAAGCAGCTTCAATAGGACATGAGGTATTTTTTTGGTTAGAAATAACTTAAATTATAAACTTTTATTTAACAAACAAAAATTTTACATGCCAAAGTTGTAAAAACAAGCAAGTGATAAAATTAAAAATAAAATAAAATAAAATATTATTTATTAAATTCAAACACGTATTTTTTATTTTTAACATTTTTTTAAATAACGTTTTAGTTTTTTAATAATTTGAGTTTTAAAACAAAATTATTAGTATTTTTTTCATAAGCTTAATTTTTATTTCCATATACTTTTTTATGCATCTTTTATTTATTTATTTTTTATTATTATTTCTTATTTACTTAATAATTATTATATTTCACAAATTTTTTGAACTAAAAAAATTACATTGACATTATTAAATTTCATAAATTTTTTGAACTTAAAAAAAATTTATTGACATCCATTTTTTAATTTATTTTAATGTTGTAGTATCTTCCTCTCTTTTGCTTCTAATCAATTTAACATAATTTTTCAATATCGATAATATTTTTGAAACAGTACAATTTGATTCTCTCTGATTTCATTTTATACATTTTTCTCTAAATTATTTTTTATTTATGAATTATATTATTATTATCGAAAAACATTGTAATTTTTTTTTGAGGCGATATGGACTTTCATAAATTTGAACATTTTTTATATCTAATATTTTAATATTATCTTTTTGATTATATTTAATTTGAGATATTTTTTAAACTTCGATAAAATTTTTCAATTAACAAAATTTATTTTTCTCAATTTTTTTTTTATATATTTTCCATTCAATTTCTCTTACTTATTTATTATTTTAATGCAAAGAAAATTTTTTTCGTACTTCTCTTTTTAATAACTTTTCAATGTTTCGATTTAAAAATGTAAAGTTTAATATTTTTTTAATATTTCGCTTTGAGTTTGCAAACTTCTACCTTTTATTTCTATTCTTAATTTTGACTTAATTTTCTTTTTACATTTTATTTAAACGATTTTGAATTTTTCAATTACATTTTCGTTCTTACCGTTTTTTATTATATTTATTATTAATTTTTTAAATTTTTTTGGTACATTTCACATATTTTTATTTTCTGAAATTGTTTTTAATGTATTTATTGATTTATCTTTACTTTGTATTTCTAATATTTTACTGTTTTTTTTTCAATTACTTCAAATAACTTTTACATACATACTTTAATTTAGTCCTATATATTTTTTGTAATAATTTTTTTTGTAAAATACTTTAAATATTTTTTAAAAATATTTTATTTTATTTTATGGTGCTTTTTTATTTTTTATTTTATTTAATGCCGTTTTTTCATCCACTTAAATCAATATATAAATTTATATAATATTATTAACTGAAAAAAAAAATGCCGTTACACCCTGTTACAATGCAAGTAAAAAACATTTTCACAAATTCGAAGGCGTAGAAATCTCATTTTGATTTTTATTTTGTATAAATATTATACACACATACATATATTTAAACACAAATATTAATACAAGCATACATACACACGTACTTACATATATATGAAAAAAGTAAATTCTCTTACTTAATACTCAAACAACGTACATACATATTATACATAAATACTCAATGTAATGCCAATAACATGTTAATAATTAGTATTATTTTTTGTAATTAAAAAAAAATTATGTTTTTTATATATATTAAAGATTTATAATTTTATAATTTTATAGAATTTTTAATTTAAGAAAAATGACAAAGAAGAAAAATATATCCAAATAGGCGAAGAAAAAATTAAGTAAAGATTCAAATTAAAAATTACTTTAAAAAATTTCTCATAAATTCGCCAAATTATACATACAAACATACATATACACACCAATGATAATCGCTTACATATATTATTATTATTATAATTTTCTTTTTAATTTTTTAATTTTTGTACTTAAGCATAATTTCGTGCAACTCAGGGATTTTTGAAATTTTTCACATACGTAAAAAAGTGTAAATTTCAAAATCAAATGCAATCAACTGCAATCCATAAATAAAATACTCAGGGAAAAATGACCAACAGCCATAAAAAGCTAGTCGTATAAAGCTTAACATAAAACAAAAAAAAAAAAAGAAAAACAAAAAACAGTTACATTAGCCATAATTAATTAAACGTTGGTGTCATATATACATATATATATATATACAAACAAACAATTATTAGTATTATTATTAGTATTTTAGCTACTTATACATACATACATACATACATACTTATAGGCATATTCTAATAAAAAGAAAGCTTTCCATGGACATAGAAATGTCCCAAAAAATTATAGGAAATAAAAATAAGGATTTATTTTACTTTATACTTATAAATATGTAAAATTTCTTAATGCATGAAAGTTAAAACAAAAAAAAAAAATTGAATAAATTATTGCAATTATGTTTACAATTGAAACAAAAAAAAAAGATTTGTGTTTTTATTTTCATTTCCTTTCGTTGGTATATACATACATACATACATATTTGTTTTTACACATTCCTCTTTTACTTTAAACTGCATGTTCGTTTCTTTTTTTTCTTTTTTGATTTTTAAAAATTGAAATTTTTTTATTTCTGCTCTTTTGAGGCTTGAGGTTTTTGAATATTGCTCTAGTAAAAAGTAATCCATTATTTTGCATTAATTTAAAACCTTTATTTGCCACTCTCCGAATTATCCGATTTATGGCAAATATGCTGTGTACTGCTCGATACCTTTTTGCCATTTTGAAAGTAATGTCTTTATGCTTCTATATAGAAACCCTTATGCCTTATTGGCAAAGAATTAGGGCAACCGATTTTCACAGGCTTCGCTTGTAACCAATTTCTCGCTTGGTGCAAGGCCCGGACTTTAAAATGGTTGCATAAATATCTCCCAACCAAGCTCTCGGAGCTACTGACGCGTTACTATCGATGTCTGTGATCTGGCGTTGTTCTGATGGAACACAATTCCCCAACTATTGGCCAGAGCTACGAGTTTCTGATCGCTTCTTTGTGTGTTGCTCTCTGATGGTCCAATCGCTAAAAGTACGGATCCAAACTAAGAGTTCGATGATTCCTTGCCAATACCACCAAATGCATAAGAAAATCTACCTTCCGGTCAGTTCTGGCTTGTTGACCGTGATCCAATTTTCATCAACAGTCACCAATCGCTTCAAAAATGGATCGATTTTTTTACGATTCAGTAGAGATTCGTAGATGGAACTTCGGGACATGAGGTATTTTTATTGCTAACTCAAGTGGCACCCGTCTACATCGAGCTTTTTTGTGTATCCAGCCTTCTTCAAGTGGCTTGAAACTGTTTTTTGTGCAATGTTTTAGTTCCTGGGCGATAGAAACAGTTCCGAAGATCACTGAGACCCTCTCATTTCA